TAGGAGTAACAGGCTATACCATGGACATAATGACAGGCTAGGAGTAACAGGCTATACCATGGACATAATAACAGGCTAGGAGTAACAGGCTACACCATGAACATAGTCTAACAGGCTAGGAGTGACAGGCTATACCTAGGAGCCTAGGAAGCTGCACCATCTGGGATCCTGTTGGTACACTCTGTCATGTTCACAAAAGGACAACATCGCCTAATGACACATTTGACAGAATGTATCCTCACCATTAAGTGATACATGACTATACTTAACGCCACCGAACTGTATACTTAAAAATGGTTAAAATAATACATTTTGTGTACATTTTATTGCAATTTTAAAATAAAATAGAAAAAACATACGAACTCCTATTTAAAAATATATTATTGTGTCCACAACAGATGAGACAAATGCACAGAAAATTCAGGGAGAGGAGGAGTGATGGGATGAAGGAAGACACTGGTAAAAATGAAAGAAAGAACAGGGAGAAAAAAGGAGAGATTAAAAGACAGAAAAATACAAAGAGGGAAGGAAGAGCTATGACTCTGGAAGGGTGGGGGAGAGCAATAGCTTGACATGCTCTGAGGAGAGTTTAGTTGGGAAGATGTCTTTGCTCATTTGGAGTAAGTGACTGGCTATCTCCGTCCTTTGAAAGGACCTGTGGTGACCTAACCAACCACCGTTCACAGCTCGATCTACTCTTCCGGGGTCTAATTACACTTCTTCTGACATTAAGATTGCCATACCAGCTCTCTCTTTTGTTAGCACACACATTTGTGTGTGTGTGCATGTTTTTCTATAGTTGCTATTCGTGCAGCTATAACCCAGATGTTGACCCCAAATCTCATGTCTTGGAATTTTCAGTGCTTTCTCTATTGGTGAGCGCCCATCTGGAATCATCGGCCTTCTACTGAGGAACACCTCTTAGCATTGTTTATTCTGTAAGTGTGGTGCTGGCATGCTTTCAGCTTTCAAGGTTTAAAAAATGTCTGTATTCCACCTTACTTCTTGAAGGAAATGTTCTCTAAGCAGTTATTTTCTCTAAGCCCTTTAAATATATTGTCTCTAGGCCTCTGTGTTTTCTGTTACGAAGCCAGCTGTTGGTCTAGTTGTTGCTACTTTAAGATTGTGTTTTGTGGCAGTTTTTATAATTTTCCCACTGACTGCAGCTTTCAGCAGTTTCATTATGATGTGCCGAGGTACGTTTGTTTGTATTTATTCGGTGAATTGTTGCATTTGATGTGCCGAGGTACGTTTGTTTGTATTTATTTGGTGAAACTGTTGTATTCGTTTGGGAGAAATGCTCACCTATAAATACTGCTTCGGACCCTTTTCTGTGTTGCTTCTTAAAGATACAGAATAAACGCAATGTGAGACCTCTCACTATGCTGTTTTTACTCTCCTCTGAGCTTTTTTTCCATTATTTTTATGGCTCTGGCTTCATTTTGTAAATTTTCTTCTTGAAATTTTTCTTTGAATTCTAAAATATGTATGTGGTTCTTTTCATGGCTTCTAGTTCTCTGAAAATGTTCAATGTCGTCTTTTTTCTTCTTTACCATAGTGTTATGACTGAAAGTTTGTGTCCCCCTAAAGTTTCTTTAAGTAGGTCTGTCCTCTGACACAAACATCAAAACTTATGTGTTGAAATCTTATATCCCAATGTGATGGTATTAGGGGTGGGGCCTTTCAGAGGTGATTAGGTCACGAGGGTAGACTCTTCATGAATGGGATTAGTGCCTTTAAAAGAAGAGACACAAGAGCTTGCTCCCTCTGCTCTGCTCTCTGCCATGTGAGAACACAGCAAGACTACGTCCATCTGCAAACCAGGAAGCTGGCCCTCATCAGACAACAGATATCCTAGCATCTTAATCTTGCACTTCCCAGGTTCTAGAACTGTGAGCAATAAATTTCTATTTTTCAAGCCACCCAGTCTACAATATTCTGTTGTAGCAGTCCCTATTAACTAAGACATATAGTCAATAACGGTTATTTTAGTGTTTGTCTCTTAACTCTAATATATACGGCCCCTTTGGGTCTATTTCTATGCTTACTGTTTCTGTTCATATTTCTCATTTCCTCATGTTTCCGAGAAATCATGATTTTATGCTGAATACTACAAGAATTGCTTGTAGAAGTGATTTGAGGCCTAGGATGGTGCTGTCTTTCTCCAGAGATTTGTAACTACTTCTGCAAGGTTCTAGGGAGGACTAGCACTCTGAAATGTTTTCATTTACTTGCAGTAACTTAATGAACCTGTAGTCCCTATGAACACCTGCTTCTGGTTCCCCTTACTCTAGAGGTTTAGATTTAGCCTTCTGGATTCTAGATCAAAGTGAGAGGGGTTTCGTCAAGTATCCTTCCCCTAACAGACCCTAGAAAGCAATCCCTGTCACTTCTGCACTGAGACACTGTCTAAAGCACTGCGCAGCCTCTGGACCTCTTGGCCTTCCTCTTGGGAACCACTGTAAGCCCTCAAAGGAATAAGTGGGCCTCTGCTCTCAGATTCTTTACAGTCCTATCAGTTCTCTGGTCGCATGGACCAGATAGTTCAGATTTTTTTTCATTTTTTCTAGTTGTCCTTAATGGTAGATTTGATTTTTGTTTGTTATTTATCTAGAAAAAGATTTTCTTTCTCCTTAGAATGTGTTAGTCTCACAAGGAGATGCCTGGCAGTTGGAATATTCTTGAGTCTTAAGTCCATTCTTCCCTCTGGAAAGAATTCTTCTGTTGCTTCTGGCTCGCTGCTACTCCTCTTTCCGGCTCTCTGCTTCTAGGTCTCCTATTGATCAAATACCAGAACTCCCAAATCTGTCATATCTCTTCACCAACAATCTCTTTCTTGATATTTTTTCCTTGAACTGTGAGATGGTTCCTTCATTCACCTTCACAGATTTGTAACAGTTTTCAGCAGTGTTGCTTTGATTTTTACTACGTTTCTTTTAAGATATGACTTACGTATCATAAAGTTCACCCTCTTAAAGTACACAATTCTCTGTTTTGTTTTGTTTTGTTTTGTTTTGAGATGGAGTCTCACTCTGTCGCCCAGGCTGGAATGCGGTGGCGTGATCTCAGCTTACTGCAAGCTCCGCCTCCCGGGTTCACGCCATTCTCCTGCCTCAGCCTCCCGAGTAGCAGGGACTACAGGTGCCTGCCACCACGCCCGGCTAATTTTTTATAATTTTAGTAGAGATGGGGTTTCACCATATTAGCCAGGATGCTCTCGATCTCCTGACCTTGTGATCCGCCTGCCTTGGCCTCCCAAAGTGCTGGGATTACAGGCATGAGCTACACACCCGGCCCAATTCTGTGGTTTTTAAAGGCATTCAGAGTTGTGCAACCATCACCACAAATTCCTTAACATCTTAACATTCTCATCAACCCAAAAACAACAACAAACCAAACCCATTACCCCATTCACTGGTCCCCCATGAAACCACTAATCTACTTTCTATCTATATAGATTTGTCTATTCCAGACATTTCATATAAGTGGAATCACACAATAGGTGGCTTTTGTATCTGGCTTCTTCAATTAGAATATTATAAAGGTTTATCCATACTCTAGCAAATATCCGTACTTCGTTCCTTTTCATTGATGAGTAACATTCAATTGTACAAACATACCACATATGGCTTATTCATTTATGAAGGACATTTTTGATGAATAGAAAATTCTTGGTTGTCTTTTTCTTTCAGCAGTTTGAATACGTCATCCCATCACCTTCCTGACCTCCATGGTTTCTAATAAGAAATTAGCTGTTACTCTTATTGATGATCCCTTATACACGATAGATCACTTCTTTCTTGCTGCTTTAAAGATTCTGTCTTCAGCTTTCAGTGGTTTGAGTATGATGTATCAAGTGTGGATCTCTTTGAGTTTATCCTACACGGAGTTCATTGGGCTTCCTGGATATGTAGATTCATGTTTTCTATCAAATATGGGAAGTTTTTGGTCATTATTTATTGAAACATTTTCATCTTCCCCCTTCTCGATTTACTCTTCTTCTGGTACTCCTATTATACATATATTGGTGCACTTGATTGTGTCCCACAGGTATCTGAGGCTCTGTTCATTTTTCTTCATTCTTTTTTCCTTTCTGTTCCTCAGACTGGATAACCTCAATTGACCTGTCTTCAGGTTTGCTGATTCTTTCTTCT